TTCCCATTCTACAACCGTCTAGCTCTAATACAACGTCCAAGTGGACGCACTCCAGGAGGCATCGTTTTTTGTTTCGGGTAAAACCGGGCTAAGCTTTCATCCATCAGGTGGTGGACATCATGAGAGTTGGAACTCATTAGTATAAAAGTCCCAATTTTATACTTCCTTATTCCTCTTTAATTTTAAACATGTAAATTTTAATGAGATGTATTCACCCTATTTCGTGTAAGGTGATGAATTGCAACTGATAGACATACCTGGCTTCGTGTTTGATCATTTTCTCATTTTATATGCACCAGTATATCATATGTATGTATATATACATATGAGTAGTCACTTAATTTCGTTTACGGTGATGAAGGACAGGTAGTCGAATTTTTTCACAATGATGTGTATTGGGGCCATGATTGCTTCCCTAAAGGAGTTCTTATCCAGTTTGGATCACAGTTTTGACCTCACATGAACTAGTCTCATCAACCCGCCTAACGGAACTCGAATCAGTATACTGCAGCTTAGTCTCGACATCACATATGTATAATTTATTTGTAGTCTTGAAATCCACATATAAAACAACAGTAAGGTAGTCGATTGCTGTAAAAAGTAAAAATTTGCCTCATCGAAAATACCATTATAGAAAATAGACAAAGTCTGGGCTTTTATGAAATTCTTGTCTGCCTCGTAATCAAAAGGTACTCGTAGTAGTGTGTCGACAATATAGTTTTCCCTACCACAACCAGGGTTCAAGATGCGGTGAGAGTTCTGATGAGAACAGTTAAGGCGAGGTAGAATCTGCAGTCCAGCCCATTCAGGATAAGAATACCTTTTGGGATAAAAGGCTTAATGAAATTCAATGGAATCGAGTGGTAAACGACAGACTATCAAACAACGAAATCAGAATCGGAACATTGGACTGGCGAGAAAATAATTTTATTACCATGCCTTTATCAGCATGAACTAAATAGGGTGAATATGCTATATACATGCCGTATACGTCGTATATATATATATATATATATATAAACGATAATTCGCAAAAAACACGAAGGCATAGGTGACCGGCTTTAAACCTACTATCTTCTTATAGTCCAATTCGGTCGACTCAGAAATCTAATGCTTTGGTAGGATGTCCTGTGCTTTGCCGAAATGTTTGCTGAAAAGTTAAATGGCTGCAAATGAAACGTGAAATGAGTGCAATTGTGACGGAACTGCTGCCTCCTCCCCCAAAGCATGTATGTCTTTGATCCTGCAACGTTACCGCATACGATTGCGTTCCATTTCTCGCGTGCTGTGCGGATGCATTGCTCTTGAAATGAGTGTGATGTAAGAGTCAAAAGCAGATGCGAGCCTAATCAAGCCTCCTCCCCTTGCTCGGTGGTACTTCTCGTTCCTACACTCATTTCTTCTATTCAGGGTGTTGGCTGTTTTGTTCATTTCTATCGTCTCCCTAATCTTTCACTTACTCGTTGGCGAGTTTTAGTTTGGTTTTATGAATGCTGAAACCCACTGATGCCAATGAGACATCTGAGAATATACAAAGTCCACGGTACCTTCATCTACAGCAAGGTCAGTATAAGAAAACCGGTTAAAATCCCTCATTTTTCTTACAGTAGACTGACTCAAATGTGTCAAATCAAGGAGGCTAAGAGGGAGACACATTTTGGAAGCGAGGCTAATTGAATTCCATTTAAATTGTGGGAAATTTTTCTAACGCTTAACATGGCTGTTCTCAAGCAAATTACGTGTCGAAAATAGTAAAGCTATTCTTTTTTGAGAGTGTTCGTGAATGCGCTGCCAGTGATAACGCTAGTAGATAAATGGTTTGAATTCAAGATAAACGTAGCGAATTAATAAGTCAAGTCCGAAATTAGTGTCCAAAGGGAATGGACAGATCAATTAAAACTGATGAACTAACCAGACATAAGGGCTAAAAGTAAAAGAGGTGGACATTTATTGCGAGTTAAAGCTGAATGTAGGGCGAATGCAATATGAATGTAGGTAGAATTAAATGGGGATATAATGGGGAATATTGTTGGAATGCATGATGAAGGTAGCGAAAGTGCAGTGTAGTAAGAGGAAAGAATGTGGGAATCATATAAGAATATGTTGAGGATGCAGAGGGAATTTAGAGGGAATATAAGGGAAAGGAGGTGGAAATACTGAGGGAATTAAATAGGAATCTATTTGAAATGAAATTAAGTCAGAGGGAGTGTAGTGGGAATAACAGAAATTTGATGTAAAAATTATGGGAATAAAAATGGGAATCTCTTGGGAATGCTACGGAACTACGGGAGAAGGAATATTATAGAAATTCAGTGGAAATAAGCAACTAAATTTGGGTTTAGAGGGATCTCTTGGTCAAGAATTCCATTTCGAGTTGAAGTGTATGATGAAAAAATTCGAAGACCGATCCCACAAAAAAACGACGGCGGATACCGGCAGGAAGATAAGTAGGTACTACTTATTCCTAATTGATAGCCGCTTGGAAAATAACGCGACTCAGCCAGTCTTTTGTAGCTCATCAATTTAATCAGGCGTGTAAGGCATTACGCATTTATGCAAAGAGAAGTTGGGTTTCGAGGAATCTCTTGTTTTATAATTGTTGGGCTTACTTCCATTTAGAGCCGAAGTGTTTGAATAGATTCGAAAGTCGGTTCCACCATAAGACGAAGGCAGATTCCTCTTGACTAGCTGTCGATTGGTTTTACTGGAACATTCATGCTGATGCTGTTTCCGAGGTAATCTCCTGTGTGTAAGGCATTATGCATCTATTTAAGTATAGTTTCGGGACTACTAGTCTCATCTCATATTATGTATTGTTAAAAGCAAAGGTTTCATTAAAGCACACCAGCACACAAGCACGCCTTGCGTCCAGGTTGACATATAACTTGCGATACACAAATCAAAGTGCATAGTATTTTGGTATATAAACCGCATTTCGGCATATAAACAGCATTTCGGGATAAGCCGGTTAGTCTTCTTGACTCTGTAGCTTGAATATTGTTGTAATAATAATGGTATATCTAGGTTACGCCAATCATATGACGGACGGAAGCGAAGGAGATTGCCTCGGGTGCAGTGGCAAACATAAAGTTCCAGTAAAGCCAAACGCACACTTACGCACTCATTCACATGTAACTACACACACTGAATAGTTCGCTCATACTCGCCCACTCATAAGTGTGGTAAGAAACGCACACGCATATACGCACTTACTAACACAGGCACATTCAAAAGAGAAGTGAACTCAAGAAAGTAGGGAGAAGACAGAGGCGGGGCCAGATGAGAAGTGTTATTGGCCTTTCGGACTTAAACTAGACCAGTCATAAGAATATTGACAGGTCGCAGAGCAGCCGCGGCGTTCGAGGGTGGACAAGGGGACGGGTGAGCGGCGAGATGGAGACGGGACGAGACGAGATAAGAAGAGATTGATATAAAAAATTGGGTTGAATTGAGGTGATGTGAGAATTGGATCGAGGCGAAGAGGTGAAGTGAGATGAGATGCAATGAGATAGAATGAGTCGAGACAAGACGAGACGAGAAGAGATAAGGATAGATGCGATAAGTAGAGAAAAGATGAAGTGTGATGATATACGAAGAGATGAGATGCAAGGTGATGAAAGGAGATGAGACGAGATACCTTAAGATGCGAGGAGATAAGATGATAAATGAGTAGAAATAAGAAAAAAGAGATCAGATGAGATGAGACACGATGAGATAAGATGCGATGAGATAAGATGCGATGAGATAAGATGCGATGAGATAAGATGCGATGAGATAAGATGCGATGAGATGCAAAGGGATGTTAAGAGATGAAAAGAAATTGTCTCAGATGAAAGCAAGAGGAAGAAATGAAAATACACGGGAGAAAACGAGATGTAATGAGATGAAGTAAGTTGAGATGAGATGAGATGTGACAAGATGAGAGGATTCTGTGTTGAAGAGGCTTGACAAGGCCTTTTATAGCCTGTCCCAACTGTCTCAGCCAATCCTGAGGAGGCGAGATGCTGGCTCTCCTCATTCGTCTGTCTGAGTATTCGTCCAGCCTCGAAGACCACAGATACAGGCACAGATGGACTCGGCCAACCAGTCGGCTGAGACTGACGGAACCCGGGACGTCCGAGTTCAGGTGGGCACTGGCCAATCAGCCCTGATGAGGAAACACTCAAGAGTCGTCTTAGCCCAGACCAGACCAGACAGCACGTAGATCTCCCCGAACAGCTTGGCCTATGAGCTATACACACATGCACACATGCACACAGACACAGAAACACTACATGCCAGATAACTGACAGGGCTGGATGGGTGTGAGAGGGTAAAATGGATTGATCAGAGTTGACTGGTTAGGGAAAGCGGTTAAAAGATACACTAATTGCAGGAGATAAGGGGAGAAATAGAGAGAAAGAGAGCAAAGGTGGCAGTGACGCCAGACGAGTAAAGAAGATGAAGTCAATATAAGGCAGGCCTGGCTGCATGGAACTCGGAGTGGAGCCCTGTCGCTTTTTGGTCGACGTCCCACCTTGACCGCCACCTCGTCGCGCCTCACGTGACGGCGGCGCCCGTCTCCTTCTTACCTCGTATTTATCGCTTGTGCCCCTAGCCCGTGGTTCCTGCCGGGCCTCTCCCGACGTGCCCAACCCACGGTTCTGCTTCGCCTCGCTACGCCTGTCGGCCCCGAGACGGGAGACACGACCTAACTGCCCTCTTACCTCGGATCTATCCGTCCGTCTGCAGCATCGCCCGAATTACACGTCCCGAGGTCCGAGTCCCACATTCCGACGTCAGAGTCCCGCATTTCAAAGGCGCCAAGAGCAGGCAAGTCCTCTTCTCCTCTTTGCTCATCTACTGCTCTTCCCGGACCCAGCGCCCCCATCCCCGTTCCCCTACACGTCCTGAGGGTCGGTACTCGGGACCAAGCCAGACTGGGGTGGTAGAGTAGAATGGGGTGGGTTGGATCTGTGGACCGACAGCCACGAGCAACAGGCTCGATTGGTCCCCTCATGCCACGTGATGCGAAACAAAATGGAGCAAGGGAGGACATGATGGAATGATTGAATGGGTGAATGGCTTTTGGTTTGCTCGCCGTCTCGCTTGCCTCCAAAGATGTGGTTGCCCCTTCGAATCCCGACGACTTTGGCCGATTTCCGCAAGATCCTCCTAACTATCAACTCTGCTCGCTCTACGCCATGCCCCCTCATTTTCGTTATTTCCATGTCTGCTTGCAACCGCACATCCCGCTCATAAGTAGGTTTCATAGACGCCAGTGGATCCGATATAAGAGCTGCACCCACCCTATTAAATTCAAGATGATGGAGGACTAGCATTTGAATTTACACACAATTATGTTATTAGTCCGCATGCTTCCATTCCACTTCACATATCCTTGCATCTCAGAAGGTCTTCTCATCCCGTCTGTATTGAACTGCGGCCTCTACCTCTCTCATGTTTCATCAGCATCCCCAACGGGACTCGAACCCAGATAGTGCTGTCTATAATTTCTACATGGTACCACAATGCCACATTCCCACGAGTGTCCCTAGGTCAATGGCAGGCCCTTCTCATCAATGGAGCAAAGTTGTATTTGTTATTACTACTTATGCTTGTTATGATTGACGATTCCATGTTTGCTGCTAGCTAG